TTTATTTAGAACAAGTGAAAAACGCTGTGCAAAGAAAAAGCGGCATACTGGATGTAACTTAAAATTTCCATCTTATTGAGACACTAAGACCACCACCTATGAGTACAAAACAACTTTGATTAAAAGTCTTTCTCTCAAAAATACCTTTACAAAGGGGACTTCCTTCCAATATACTGCTCTGCCTAAGACATGGAATTCAACTGTTAAAAGAGATCAGCTCCTCCTTCTTCTAGCCTCCTGCTCTCCCAAAACTTTGCCGTTGCTTCACCCTTTCAGCTACAGACCTGATAAATACAACCTCAGTCGTAATACTAATAATACTGATTTCATCTCATATTCCCAGAAGATTGACTACAAAACCTGAAAATTATCTATGTACCCACTATTTTATCCTATGACACACTGTTTTATATTTAACAAACTCAAACTTTATCCACTAATGTGAAACTTTAGTACTGTGCCATAGCAAGCAAGAAAAACATCAAGTGGAAATACACTTAGTTTAGGCAAAGACTCTTTGCTCTGATTTCAGCCAAATTGTACTAAAAAAAAAAATTAAAAAAATCAGTGAAATCACATCACCATGTATTTTACAACAGTAAAATAAATGCACAAATTCAGCATTTACCATTCTGCCCCACGTACACCAGCAGTGCTCTGCAGACACCAAAATGACAATATTTTTAAATAAACCTGTAATACTTCTTTGGCTACAGAGTATATTGTTTTCAGCCAAATTGTACTAAAAAAAAAAATTAAAAAAATCAGTGAAATCACATCACCATGTATTTTACAACAGTAAAATAAATGCACAAATTCAGCATTTACCATTCTGCCCCACGTACACCAGCAGTGCTCTGCAGACACCAAAATGACAATATTTTTAAATAAACCTGTAATACTTCTTTGGCTACAGAGTATATTGAGTCTTCAGGTTTGTTTGTTTGTTTTTTAACTGTTCTAATTGATCCCCTTCAGTGATAAAGATCTCGCTAACTTTCAGCCCACCTCAAAATATATTCTGGGTGGGCCCTATTCATATCAGCTACACGTCATAACCTATGTAAGCTTTGAAACGCAAATCCATGACTTTTCTATATAAGAAAAGGAAATGAGATCACTACTCTCTTAAGGGGAACATGTATCATGGAATCTGCAACAAATACATAAAAGTTTTCTCATTTGGAAACAAAATTTTGTCTTCACTCCTTTTAAAACATCCCTACTTCACATGCATCTCCAGAAAACAGGCGTCAAGAATTGGATCTGTTTCTCTCCTCCTCTAAATTACTTAACAGATTGGAAGAGAAAATGTTGAATGTTCACATTTCTGTTTAGTCATGCACTCTTCAATTATTTAGCTTCATCTGATTTAATTGGTTTGCCAAACTAGCTGCTAGATACCCTAGCTAATGAATTGGACATATGCAGGTAAACTAAATTGCTTAAGGAAGACAAGACAGAATGAGAACAATCAGCACAACGAAAGTAAACGTTAAAGCCTTTTAGTGATAAATCCATAGAAAGGCCTACTTAAAAAACACTGCATGCTTAAAGAAAAAACACTTTTAACCCTACCAGTAACATTGGTTGTAAAGAGGACTAAGACCATTTTAAAAACATTTTAAAATTTCAACTCAGCAAAAGTTTGTATTAATATTCTAATGATTCTGCTCATCAAAAACGCTGACAACTTGAACTAAAGAAATCTCCAACACCATTGATTCAGAAGAGACCAGAGATTAAATCTCTAAAGCAAGAATACCTTGTGACTGGGTAACAGAAGGTACATGAAGTGAGATTTCTGATAAACTCCCAAGTTCCTAAAAATGAAACGTATCAAGCAAAACCTTTTCCTCTTCTTCTAAAGCCAGCATGATCTTAAAAGTTATGAACTGATCAAGATGGGCTTTTCTTTGGTTCAACTTCTATGGCAGCCACGCAAAGAGCTGAACACGGACCAAACTATTTTTAAGCAATGACTTAGAAGCCTATTACCATATTTCAATAGGAAACATTGCTGTGGACATTTGACTTTTTAACCAGCAAATTTATTATGATTAATTTATCTTTATCAGAATTTATACAACTTAAACCAGTCCTTCTTTTAACAAAGAAAGTAACAATCCTCCCCCTAGCTTTTTAAATGGTTTCATAATTTTAAAGGAAACTGGTACTCAAGTTAAAATATTTTAACGTTTACTTCAATAAGCTATGTGGAAGTTTGCTTTTTGCATAAACAAAAGACACATATTTTAGTCACCTGGCTAAATTAGTACTACTTTTGCTGCAGCTTATGAAACCTTTAGCTTTACGCTAACAGCTGTATGAAAATTTTTAATTCGGTGCAAGGCAAGAGCCAAAACAAAATCACCACAGTCTAAGGAGAGAGGGATATTAAACCATCTGAAATATTTAGCACCACTGAATGAATCACCTGAACATGCACCCTCAAAACAGAGGATTTTCTTTTGGTCATGGCATGTCTAAAAAGATTTAATAGAAAAAAAAATGAGGTTTAAAGAATGATCATAACATATGCATGAAAAGTTTCCCATGCAAAAGGAATAAAGACGATAAGATGCTCATTGTAGAAAAGATCCATAAAAATGAGTATGCAGCATGTTCTAAGACAACATGATTCTCTCTCATTCAAACAAAGACAATGCCTAAAAGGCCTTTCATTTTAAATATTCCATTATACTTAGAAATACAGTTTAGCCTGTGGAAGTTGCTGCCACATGAACAGAGTAAAAGAGCTCAGCAAAATTCCAGAGGAAAAACTGGATATTTACTTAGGATAGTATTAAAAGCCTTAGGAGAAGTAATTAACAAAAACAGGTGCTGGCAAGGATATAAAGAGAAATCCTTCAGGGCAGAAGATAACCTCTAATGGGAAACTGAATTTTTTTTTTTTTGTAAGCAAGTTATTTGACAAAGAGCTTTTATTACATTTCTTACACTTTCCTGACTGAAACAACAGTCATGATTAAAGACAGAATACTGGACTAGACAGCACAATATTCTAATTCAGTATTACATTATATTTTAAATTACAACTGTCAAGGTTTAACCTCAGCCAGCAACTGAGCACCACACAGCCACTCGCTCACTCTCCCCCCCACCAGTGGGATGGGGGAGAGAATTGGAAGAGTAAAAGTGCGAAAACTCATGGGTTGAGATAAAAACAGTTTAATAATGGAAATAAAGTAAAATAGTAACAATAACAATAATAGAAGAATATACAAAGCAAGTGATGCACAATGCAATTGCTCACCACCCGCCGACCG